TCCACGACCAGTCATTCTTGATGTATGTGCAGAAGTAGTCGACCCACACACTGACGGCATATCCAGCAATGTTTCCCGTGAACTCGATACAACCCATCTTTCCTCTGTTGTGCGGAGGCGAGATTTCGGACTGGTAGACGGGGACGATTGTGGACAGGGTACCGACACCAAGACCAGCAATGACCCTACCTAGCAGCATCATGGGGATGCCATTTGCAAAAGTCTGGAGAGCTCCACCGACAACGAAGATGAGCGAGCCGTAGAGAATCGTCTTTCGACGGCCTAGCACATCACCAATGCGGCCGACTACCAGTGAAGAGATGAAGGCGCCAACTTCCAAGATGGCCACCATTGTGCCAAGCTCAGCAGCTGTAGGCTGATTAAAGTAGTCTTTAAAGTATATGCCCCTGTAGTACAATCAGATTATGCTCGAGTCGGGATGGGAGCGGGACGGCGCACGTAATGATTCCGGACATGACACCCTGGTCATAGCCAAACAGGAACACACCTAGTGAGACAAAGACACTGGTGAAGTATCTGATACTGTTAGCGACATGGAGGAAGAAGGTGTGTGTTGTTTGAAGCTCACATCAACTTCTTGCCGTGCAGCCCGTGGATACGGGACGGGCGGTCGTTGGGAGCCATGATGGCGGCGAGGATGCGCTCAGCCTTTGAGATTGTGCGAGGACCTGGATCGGGAATGTCAATGTCCTCTAGGCGGATGCCTTGGTGACCCTTCTCGTGCAAGTCGTGGTCGGCGAAGCGGGCGCGCTTCTGGTGCCGACGTGGGTTAGATGAGGAGTAGTCGTGTTCAAGATGCAGGCGCAGAGGGTCTTCGCGGTCGGCAAGCTGGTCAACGAGGTCGCCCGTGTCTGACCAGACGGACAGATGGGACTCGGACGAGGGCGTGTCCAAGGAGGAGCGGGCGCTGTCCTTATCGTGGTCGTCGAGCAGATAAGCAGAGTCGTGCTGGCGTGGGCGAGCAGAGGACGAGAGATTGTGGAGCGGGATGTTGGCGGGCCTCCGGCTGCTACTCGAGTGTGAAGGAATGGTGAAGGTTGCGAGCTGTTAGGGAGCAGCCCGTCTCCAAGGTAGGGATGGGAGAAGCAACGAAAAGAAAGGTGCGTCACAGGGACAGGTCAAGCTGCCAAAAGTGGTTGGGGTGTGGATATGGCTAGCGCGAAAGCGGTGAAGCAGGTCGGTCACATCTGGCTACACACACACAAACGAGGGTTTTGGGGGCAGGATGTGTGCATGCGTGGATCGAGGGTTGGGTGCATGGGAACAAAGATAGGTAGCTGGGCGGCGATTATGCTTGGCATGGGCCAGTGGGATGGGATGGAGAAAGTCGGGAGAGGCTCTTTGCTGCTTGGACGGAACGACGGCAAGCCGGCATGGGGGGTGTGCCAGGATGTGTGGATAGGGGAGGGTTTGTGCTATCTAGTAACATGTTTTGTTTTCCTGGGCAATTGTTTATCATTTCTTGAGGGCAGGTTGCGAGCGAGCGAGGGGCCAGTGTGTGTACTGTGTAGGGAGGTGCAAGACAAGACAAGACAAGACAGGGTGCTCTTCGAGTATGACGATTATGACGAGTCCCTGGTAGTCATGCAGGCTGGTGGGGACGAGTCACGTTGGGGGGGATCGTTGCGTGCTAGTATGATAGTAGTATCGTGGACTGGAGCCCCGCATAGACGAAGCAATGGAGTGGTGGGTGTGGACGTGGATGTGGATGCAAAGCACATGGCATGGGGAAAGAGAGCCGCAAGTAGTCGCAGTAGTAATAGTAGTGTGCACTGTGTAGTAGGTGTAGAGTGCAGTGCATTCGGGATGGGGCGGCTGTCTATCACATGCCTGCCTTGCTGTATCCATGTAAGGTAGGTACTGCCATGCCTGGCATGTTTGCCAGAATAGAGACATTGCGGGACAAAAGGCAGGGCAAGCAAGCAAGGGCCATGACTGCAACAATGCCGTGTCGGTTGGTTGGTTGGTTGGCTGGTCGGTCGGTCGGTCGATCGATTCCGCATGTGCGCCCATGTCATCGTGGCAGACATATTTTTTGCATCTCCTTGCAGACTCGCAGACTCGCAGACTCGCTTACTACAAATGTCGGTACATGCAGACTACGCAGTACAAGTCAGACGTCATTTCACCGCCAGGCCCGCCCGCACCAGCGATGCAGCAGCCGCCAGCTCCCAGCTCCCAGCACTCCCAGCTCCCAGCACTCCCAGCATTCCCAGCACTCCCCACGGCTGCACGCTCACCGTCGATGAAACACGCAGACAGCAGCCATGGCCGTCCTTTTTCCCGCGCCATGCCGCCCACGAGCGCTGCTCCCGGATACGACGACAATGGCGACATGTGTGTACTTATAGCATGCTGCCCCGAACGACCAAAAAGAAAGCAAATGGCAGCGAACGGCAGGGCCGCCTGTTTTGCACGGCCAGCCCCGTGGCCCATTTGGGGGGGTAGGTGGCTCTACTAGGCCGTGCTATGCTGCCGCTATGCTGCCGCTCACCGCACGGCCCCCTTGTGGTGGAGACGGCGTAGCGCCATAGCAGCCGCCCGCCATTGGCTGCGGCCGAGATTAAACGTCTTTGCTCGCCATTGTTCCACCTCAGGCGTCAGGCTTGCTGCTCGTCCAGAGTGACAGTAATTAGCATTCAAGCACCGCAGCAGCCTCCGCCCTCGTTTGCATCAACTCGTCCAAATTGCCCTTGCCACACCTCAATCTCCGCCCCCCGCTCCCAAACACCGCCCTAGCCAACCTCGCGCCCATCCGCCCTTCCTCCCAGCCATACACGCTGTCCCCACCCACCCCGGCACCCAAACCCCCAAAGCTTGGCTTCGTGCATCGTTTCAAGGAAGCTCCCCCAGCCACGCCCGCCCGGCGACGTTGCTGTGCGCATCATCCCTCGCTGTCTTCCTCTCAACACCAACCCTTCCACGCCGCCCACCCACCTCACGCCCGCTGTTAATCGCCATTGCGCCCGTCTGCCTCTGCTCTCGCTCCAGAGACTGATTCCACCACCCCCTGCACAGACCCGACGCGCCTGTTTCCAGGGCTGCGCTCCGCTCGCCCTAGTAGTAAACAGCAAACATGGTCAATTCATACGGCGAGTTTGCAGACTTTTGCAGAGATTCGGGCAACCAATGGAGCACTCTGCCAGGTACGACGCCCCCCGCCCTGCATTCTGCATCTGTAAATACATTTAATGCTGACCTCTTATAGTTTGTTATGTACGTTGCTGACGCTCCACCCCTTTGCGCCTGCCTTCTTCGCCTTCAGCCCGCTAACCGCTTTTTCTCCACAGCTCTTCAACCCAGCATCCACCAAAAACAACAACGGATGGCAGGGCGGCTGCACCCTCAGAGGCTTTCCCGTTGGCGGCGGTCGCAATTTGCATAACTTGGGTGTGTGCGCCTGCCGCCTCCAAAAATGTGTATCTTGCTCACATCCTCAGGGTCCATATTACTATGCGCCATTGCTCTGCTCGTTTCTCTATTCCTACTATGGCGATCGCAAAGGAAGAAGGCTGCCGTCGGCAGAAGGTGTGTACTCAGCTAGGAAGCTGCTGGACCCTCGACTAACCCATGCGCGCAGAGAAATGCAGGTTTTCCTTCTCGGCTACATGATCATATCCATCTGCGAAATATTCACCATTGGCGGCTTCCCTCTCAACGACAAGGTCCGCATCGTACGTTGTCCCCTTCCGCAGTCGTGAACGCCATTTAATCTTTGTGCAGGTTTTTGTTGCCATTCATATTGCTGCCATCACCGCGACTTCTTGGATACTCATGCTCAACGGCGCCGTCGGCTATCAGCTTCTCGATGACGGTACAGCCGTGTCCATTGGTCTCCTCTTGGGCTCGGCAATCGTTATTTTTATCGGAACTGGCTATATTGCTCTTGATACTGGCCTCGGTTGGACTGGCTACTGGGACTCGACTCTTAACGCGCCAAACAAGGCATATGCTCTGTACACGCTCTACCAGCTTGTACCCTTGTTCTTCATCGTCGTCTTCTTCCTTCTCGAGGCCTTCCTGGTCTTGCGCGTCCTCGGCGAGCGCAAACCTATGCGTAAGTGCTCTTATCGATGATGTGAACTGCACATCCGCTAACTTGCATCATTAGTATATCTTATCGCGGCTGCCCTCTTGTTCGCCATTGCGCAAATTTTCCAATACGTCATCAGCGTCCACATCTGCAACGGTTCCGACGGCAAAATCAACGGAGGATTATTTGAAACGCTTTTCACGCTCCTGGCCGTTGTCATGGTCTGGGTGTTTTGGTCCAGCATTACCGAGGACGACTGGCCCATGCCCACGGTAGCCGGAACATATACTTAGGAGGATATAGTAGTCATGTTGAAACTGCAAAAGCAACGGCGTAATGTTTTTATGATGATTGGAGGTTTTTGTTTCAGCCACAGCGTATACCATTTTTGGGGCTCCTTGGACGCATTCGATGCGTCATGCCGGCTTCTGTTACGATATACATAATGTTTGCTAAATCCATCTTATTGATATAGATATGTACTCACTTTGATCTTTGTTTGTTTGTTTCACATGTAAAAACGTGAATGCGCGTTCAGCCTATTACGTGCGCCACACGCTCCGACTCCCAATGTGGGTCCATGATTATCCGTCCACCGCGAACCGTTGACTGTGAACCCTTTCAAAGCTCCCAAACGTTTGGAAACTTTCGGTCTGCTGAAACCGTAGTCGTTGAAAAAAAACAAATCATCGCCTCCCATCCTTGCTCCCGCATCTCTGAACATGCAGGACTGAACGCTCATCGTCATCGAACGGCCTTTTGCTCCGGAGCACACGACGCCTGCTACTTTCTTTGACGCCGTATATTACGAATGCGCACTCTAGCCGAAGCTCGTCAGCCCACTTGCAGCCACTCCCATTTGCCTCTGCGACGACCTATGATACCAGACATCCCACGATTGAGCTCCGAACGTACTGCGCCCAAGTCGTCAAGCTAAACACAAGTCATGGCTGATTCCGATTACGACTTTGAAGACGAGGTGTCTGATGACGATTACATTGGCAACAAAGGCAGCGCCTCGAACACGCGCGCGCAGTCCACGGCAGCTACCAAGAGGCGAAAGGTAGAGGTACCAGTCAAGGAAGCACCTCAAAGGAAGGCATGGGAGACGGAGTACTCGCGAACAGTGGAGAAGACGATCCAGCCAGCAGATGATGGTAGTCTGGGGCAAAGTGTACAAGAGCGGGAAGAGGAGCGCAAGCGCAAGCGGTTGCGCAAAGACACCAAGCCATTTCAGCGTGGCATAATAAGACATGTCGTACTGGTGCTGGATCTCTCAGAGGCCATGTTGGAAAAGGACATGCGCCCCAACCGTTTCATCACCATGATCAACTACACGCAGGACTACATTCGCGAGTTCTTCGAGCAAAATCCTATCTCCCAAATGAGCGTTCTGGGCATGTACGACGGTGTCTGCATACGCGTCTCGGAGTTGTCTGGCAATCCGGCTGAACACATTGCGGCGATACAAGGTCTGAGGAGTAAGGATGATGGCAAGGAGCCCAAAGGCTCGCCCAGTCTGCAGAATGCTCTCGAGTTGGCAAGAGCAACACTCTACCATACGCCCAGTCATGGCACACGAGAGGTTATTGTCGTCTTCGGCAGCCTGCTGAGTCTGGACCCTGGCGACATTCACCAGTCTGTCAAGGCGTGTGTGAGAGACCGAATACGGGTCAGTATAATTGGCATGGGCGCACGCCTCAAGATATGCACCGAGATTGTCAAGCGAACCAACGCAGGCGACGAATCCGAATATACAATCGCCACAGATCAAGAGATGCTTCGGGAACTGCTCCTAGCCACAACGACACCACCTGTCATCCGACAGCCTTTGGTTACAGATAAGACTGCGCCAGTAACGACAGCGCAATCTTCAGAATCAGCTGCTGCGCTAATGATGATGGGCTTCCCGTCGCGGGTAGTAGAAGATCAGTTGACCATGTGTGCATGCCACGGAAACTTGACAATGGGCGGCTATACGTGCTCTCGGTGCAGCGCAAAAGTTTGCTCTCTACCCATCACTTGTCCCTCCTGCCAACTCACGCTCCTCCTCTCCACTCACCTGGCACGCTCGTATCACCATCTCTTCCCCCTCCGCAATTGGGCCACAGTGTCGTGGTCGCGCGCTCGTGAGATGGGCAGCAAACAGTGCGTGGGCTGCTTAGCTGCCTTTAGCAATCCACCGAACAATGCCAAAGAGAACGGTGAGGCCAAACGAAACTCTGAGGCAAAAGCCACAAAAAGGGACGACAATGATAGCGAGGAGCAGAAAGCTAGTGAAAGTGGCAGGTATGAATGTAGGGCATGTGAGAGCCATTTTTGCATTGACTGTGACATGTTTGCGCATATGGTACTGCATAACTGCCCAGGATGCTTGGGAAGGCTAGATCCAAATGCGGCTGCTATAAGCAATGGGGATGTGGAGATGAGTGGTTGAGGTAGATTCCCTTACCCAGCCCTTTTAAATTTGCTAGCGACAGCGATTTATCAAAGCAGATAGACCGTAAGGAAATACCCATGTGCTAGAGGCGCCAATTTCAAGATTGATTTGGGGTTGAATTTTATATTCCCTCATCACTCTCTCTCTCTCTCTCTCTCTCTCTCTCTCTCTCTCAGTCACAACTTGTGTTGTTTCCATGTGACTAGGCCGTTGTCTTTAACCAGACTACCCAAAGTGAAGGTATAAAGTCCGGAGAAACGTTCATCCCCGTCAAGCCTAAACATGACGCGCAGTCCCGTGAGTACGTAGAACCACTACTGGTCGATTCTCTCGGACCGTCGCACGAGGAAATGCCGAACGGCAGCCCCGCGTACGTGGGGCAGGTTGCCTGGTTGAGCATACTCCACATTCCGCGAACGCGCCATTGTGCGCCCGCAATTGTTCATAAGCCATTTATAATCCAGATTACTTAGACTCACACATGTTTTCTTTGCCCATACGAGCTCTTGTCCACTGCACACGCATTGTTCCTAAGCCAGTGCTTGCTTGTCGTTACGTCACTCCTCACCATAGAGTCTCATTAGCGAACCCGGTACAGGCATATTTCAGTACAGCTGGCAGAACCATGGCGGCTTTTGAACGATTGATTCGATTCGAGGATGCTGAGGGTAAGACCCTGTATGGTAATCTAGAGAAAGAAATACCTACCAAGGAGATTCAGGGGAGTAGCGTCGAAGTGCTTGAAGGCGATGTAAAGAGTGGGTTTAAAAAGACTGGGAGCAAGGCCACAGTTTCAAAGGCATGTTGTATCGATGCTTTTGTATCACAATTCGATAGGACAGGACTGATAAAATACGCATTGTAGCTACTAAGCCCGCTTCCAACTACAAATATCATTCTCTGCGTTGGACTCAACTACCGCAAGCATGCCCAAGAATGCAATGTACGTTGCCCAATCCTACTACCATATTGTATACTAACCACATGTCCTACTCGTAGCTCCAAATACCCGAGAACCCAGCCATCTTCATGAAACCCAGCGACGCACTCGCAGGCCCTCTAGACGACATACCAATCCACAAAACCTGTCAATCCCAACTCGACTACGAAGGCGAGCTCGGCATCATCATCGGCCGCGATTGCAAAAACGTCGCTGCAGCAGACTACGCCTCGTACGTCCTGGGCTACACCATCGGCAACGATGTTTCAGCACGCAACTACCAGCTGCCAGCAAATGTGTCCGGCGGCCAATTCGGCTACGCAAAGTCCTTTGACAAGTTTGCCCCCATCGGTCCTTGCATTGCGAGTCCTGCCGTCGTACCGGACCCGCATGCGCTGACGTACTGGACCAAAGTCAATGGCGAGAAGAGGCAGGAGACGGGCACCGATGATATGATTTATACCGTTGGCCAGATCATCGAGCACTTGAGTCGCGGGACGACGCTTAGGGCTGGCACGGTGATTTTGACAGGGACGCCGAGTGGAGTTGGGTTTTTCATGGAGCCAAAGGGGTTCTTGAAGGATGGGGATGTGGTGGAGATTTATGTGCAGGGGATTGGGAGTTTGGTTAATACTGTGAGATTTGAGTGACCATATAGTAAGTAGGGTGGTAGTGTGTACATGTGACCATACATGTGGAGCTGCTGTGCTTAAAACCCATTTTGGAATTTGCTACACATTGGAGAAAAGGGAAATATTTTGCCAAAAGTTGAAGCACGATGAGTCATCTAACCTGTTTTGTCATCAACATATCCGAGGAAATAGCAGTCAAGAAGCATGTTTCACGTCTTGGCGCAGCTGCCCACAATATCTGCGAGAAGCCTCTTCTGTTCTAGTGCTGCATGATTCAGATGTGCAACCAGATCTAAACAGCCGTCACATGAACAGAAAAAAAAAGAGTTCATGTGTTGAAGCAAGGGAAGCATGATGCCGAAACACAGGTGTGGTCAGAGCATGTCGACGCCACTTTGAGCACGTCCGTCCTGGCGCATTGAACGGATGAGGAAGATGAAGCATGACTAGCCGCAACAGAAAATACCGGCGTTACTAGAGAGTTTGTATTGGCGAAGTGAGCAAGAAAGTTTGTAGGAGATGCAAATGCAATGCACTCATTACCATTATCACCACCGCTGCCGCCGCCGCCGCCGTCGCCGTCGCCACGACTACAAATACGAACACATCCGGGAACATCCAGAGCTGCAGCATTTTGCCACAACCGAAACAACAAGAATAGCAGCATTGATGATATTACTTGCTATCTACAGATAAGTGGAGACACACCCCAAGTGGGCGCTAGGGAGCGGGCGGCAACAGCAACGGCAACAGCAAACCTCGATGCAGACAAGCAAGGCTAAAAAAAACAAACAAACCTGTACCCCCCCTGCAATCATGCCTCTTGCTCAACAAGCACTAAAGTCGGTTTTACATTGTTCGTATGTAGCATATCACTAGACCAGACCAGACCCGACCCGACCCGACCAGGGGAGAGGCATGGGCAGATTAACAAGCTTCAAGTCACACGCGAATACCCAACCCACGTCCATGTCCATGTTTTTGTAAGAGAAAGAGACAGTTTTGAAACCTCTCTTTTATGCCAACGAGTAAGAAAGAAGCCCGCCGTTCCGCGTTCCGCGTTCCCTGCTAGGGAAAGAGAGAAGAGGAAGAAGGAGAAGAATACGACAAATTCCCGTGATGCACACATGCACACACACACACAAACGACTTTGTTATGTCCTGTCTTGTGACCCTGGGGGGAAACCATTGTTCATGTGTATGTATGTACATGTGCTTATTTTTGCTTTCTCCTCCTCCTCCTCCCCCCACCCAACTACTAACCCATGTGTGTCGGTTTTGGTGGCTTGTTGTCTAAGACCCTTGCATGTCTAGAACACACTTGAGCGGTCAAAGTAATATATTGAAGTGGAATAGTGAGAAGGGAAAAGATGGGCATAGCCGAGATGGGGTTTAGGGGATTCGGTTAGTCAGGGAAGTGGCCATGTTTAGGTGATTTTTTTTGGGGGGGGGGGGGGGTTAGAAGTCTTGAATGATTGTGAGTGCAAGCCACGCTTGATTACGTAGGCTTTGGTGTGTATGTGTGTGTGTCAAAGGATTAGGAATATGTAATGATGAGTTTGAATTGAGCATAGTAGAGTTTGGAGGCGGCAAGATTGTGGGTTTATACACGGATAGTGAGAGAAAGAAGAAAGGATGGGGTATTTGCAGGGCGGGATCAAGACGGAAATACCATGGCGGCAATGGGAGAAGGAGAGTTCGCGATGAGCGAGTTGCTGGAGCGGATTGCATGACGGGTCCAAGAGCCAAAGGGGCAAGGCGGCCATGGGCGGTAGGTGGCAGAATGTGGGGGGGGCGTAGTGTGTCACATGCCACACGTCTGTTTCTGACACAGCCATGTGAATGCTTGCTGGAGATGTCGGGTGAGCCAAGGGTAGTCTAGAGGGGTGGAGGGGTGTCACCCGTGCAGTGGCCGGGCTGGCCTGCGTCTGGGCGACTGCGAGGCGGGCAAGCGGGCGGGCGGGTCTGGTGGATGACGGGCAATGCGGTTCTGGTTCATGGGTAGTAAGCAGGACAGGAAACGGCATGGGATGATTATTTATTGTTCATGGATGGATGGTGGATGTGGATGGTGGAGGTGTGTTGGTCCGGCGCGGGCAATCGGCCTCGGACCACCAAGCGCGACGCCGCGTCCTTGTCCTTGTCCTGTTCGGTGGTGATGCACGCCGACGACGACGGTCGGGGATGCGGGACAGGGATGGATAGAGAGGGCGAGAGAGAGAGAGGCGGTGATCCACTCAGACTCGATGGACGCACAGTGTGCTCTGGTGGTGGGAGGCATTTGGGGCTGGCAAGTGGGGAAGGCTGCAGAGTGATCAGCCCCGGCGCTGATTGGGCAGCCGGGGGCGCGCCAGGTTTCGGTTGGATTCCAAGTGGCCCCTTGGTCGCCCTTGGTCGCCCTTGGTCGCCCTTGCCTCGATAGATAGCGTCGCCTCTTCCTCGTGACCTTCTTCTTCCTCGTGATCCAAAGCCCTCATCGCTGCTGTGCTGATAGTCCTACAACAAAGTCCATTCCACGCAGCGCTGAAATACCAAGAGGTAAGAGGTGTCTTTTGCTCTCCCTTTCCACACTCTCGTTTTTTCCCGCGCCCTCCGCAAAAATTCATCGACTCGTCTTTTGGTCGCCAGCGCAGACGTCGACCCAGTGCAAAGGCCGTTTTGTTAATCTTACTCGACATCACGTTACCAAACCAATCGACGAAACCGACTTGGTGAGTTGGGCCCGTACGGTCGCTTTCTTGCTCTCCTGCGCACACCCTGTGCCTCCGCCGCCGCCCTTCTCGCTGCCGTCTTTTTCTTTTCTTCTCCACGACCTGCCATGTCGCTTGCCATAGTCACCTGCGCCCGCTCCACGCCCCCCACCTCCCCCCCGTCCAAGAGCGAGGAGTAGGGAAAGAGGGAGAGGGAGCGCGAGTATTTGGTGGCGGCCTTGTTGCTCCGCATCCCGCAACCGCAGCATATCATGGAGACGCGCATCCACGACGAAACGACGCACGACTCCTCTTGTGCGCCTCGCTGCCACCCACCGCCCATTGCACCATGAGCCCGCTCTCCTTTGCGTCCTGACAGCTGCCTCTCCCCGGGCGACGCGACACTTGGATGCGCCCAATCGCCTGCCTGCGGGCGACGCTGCTCTCGCACCACCTGCATTGCATCTCATTCACCTGCCTGTGCCCGTGCTAATGTTTGTCCGACACAGACTGTCCATGCTAAGCGCATAATTGCCAGACCATCTGCTGCGTCTTGCGTCTGCGCCTGCGACTGCCACTGCGACTGTCACTGCGCCTACTTCCTCTCTTGGCTTTGCGCGTGAACTGGCGGGCAAAGCGTTCGCGACTCCGACTCCCCCGCCTCGGTTGTATTGCGCCCTGCGGCTTACCATTCGAGCGCGTCTATCCTGTCCTGCCTCACTCCACCAACCACCGCCAATCCGCGCACCCTGTTGCCCACCCAAGCCTCCTTACCTACCTACTCACCCACGCACCTAGACGGCGCGACTGCATCGCATCTTGTTCACTGTGACGCTGCGACGCCGCCGCATCACCATCTGTCTCCCACCCTTACCCTGTCCTTGGCGCGGACCTGGCATTCACGCGCCGGTCCTTTTTGCGCAGTGTCTAATCCACAGCACTGCCCACGCCTACTTTGACCTTGCCCTCTTCTAATATCAGCCCATTCCTCCCTTGCCAGATACCATGGCGGATACTGCCGGCTACCCGACCGACAGCAAGTTGGATGCCCACAACAGCGTCCACACCAACAAGCGAAAGCGCGACACGCGCGACCAAGGCATTATTAACCGGCCCGCACCCCACAACTCCAACAGCGACTTGACTGACCAGGCCACCGCCTCGTTTCTTGCCGCGCACAACGCCGCTGACGACGACATGCAACAGCAATTTGACGTGCACCACAACGGCGGCACCAACACGGCCAGTGTGGGCGATACCGCAGCCGCTGCCCTTGCCTACCACCAGATGACAGTGCCCCAAGCGACCGAACTTCAATTCCAGCCCCAAAATTCCGGTGACGGCTCCTTTGGAATGGGCGATCACAACCAGCAACAAACGGGCATGCAGGACTTCAGCCTCGAGGCCCTCAAGGCTGCAACACAGACGGGCCGCCCTGGCCAAGCAGCACCCAGCGACTCACCGCCGCAAAGCGCTACCCACAAGCCCCAGGTTGGCACAGAAGAGTGGCACAAGGTGCGGAGGGACAACCACAAAGAAGGTGCGTTCATTTTTTTCTTTTCGTTTCTTTTCTTCTCATGTTTGAAAGATTCCACGACTAACCTGACTACAGTTGAGCGCCGCCGTCGCGAGACAATCAACGAAGGCATTAACGAACTCGCCAAGATTGTTCCTGGCTGCGAGAAGAACAAGGGCTCGATCCTCCAGCGCGCCGTACAATTTATAACTCAGCTTAAGGAGAATGAGCAACAAAACATTGAAAAGTGGACGCTTGAGAAGCTATTGACTGAGCAGGCCATCACCGAGCTCAGCGCTAGCTGTGACAAGTTCAAAGCAGAGTGCCAACGTGCATGGGACGAGTGCCAGATTTATAAGCGCGCTTGCGAGAACAACGGCATCCTACCTGACGAAATCAAAGAACGCCAAGAAAACGGCGAGCAAACGGGGGCAAATCCAATGTAGAGAGGTGATTGTGCTTTTCTGGATCCTTCAGTGGAGCATGTTCTTTCGACACGATGCTGACGAAGTTTTTTGTTACTCTTGGGATATACATGTGCGCTTCTTTTCTGCGGGGGCGTTTAAACCCCCCCGTTGTCTTTCATTGGCACGTGTAGTGCTGATCAAGGCTTACTTTTGACTCGGCGTACGGGGGTGCAGCAAGTCTCGCTCGCTTGAGCACACGGGCTGTCGTTTGATTGTCTGCATCAGCCCGATAGTAATCGCGGTGCGGGTATGGGCTCCTTATACTTGCAGGTTATGGTGGCTTTGTTTTTATTTCATGTCGTTATATACATATATATATATTTCTCTTGTTGGAATGTTGAGCGACACATTCACAGCCACATGAGCTATTCTCCAGTAACATGGGAATCATGTACCCCTGCTTCATCTCAGTTGTCGTACAATAATGGAAAGAAAGTGATTGTTGGCTAGCAATCGAATCGCGCTAGTGAAACCCTGCCTACTAACCCATGAGCCGACGGCGCATTCCCATTCCCACCCCCACCTGCATCCATACAGCGACTCACCTTCTCCAACTTGCGGCCACACGCGTCCCTTCAATGTGCTCCTAGCAATCGACAAAGCAGTCATGAACCGCACGTAAACCTGTGTCCCGCATGTGGTGGGCACGACTCGTCTATCCCCACGGCCTACCATTTCACAATTTAAACACTTGTCGCAAATCGACATGGAGAACCACGAAGTACCTGGCGAACAACCACTACCACCCCCGGTAGTGGATGGAGCTGAGCTGATTGGAAACTCGGGTGCTGATTTCCCAGTCATCGAAGCTGAGCCCGAAGAAGAGCTTGGCCTGCCCCTCGATACTGCTGAACAGCAACGACTACTGCTCGACCAAGATGACAACCAACCACAGGCTGGTCCTCCTCTAACGTTACCAACACGTCCGGGCCTACAACGAGGCAATTCGGTCCCTACACCTGCACCACACCTCCCCCCTCCCGCGCCGCCTGGGCCGCCTCCAGATACCCCGCAAAACGACTCGCTTTCGCTGGCGCAGTTGCAGCATCTTGTCCGGGGCATACCCAAGGTCGAGCCTGCTCCATACGCCTTCAGTTATGATGATGCTTCGTCTTTTGAAGAGGAGCTCGAGGAGTGGTTCTCATATGCAGTGGAAGAGCAGGCTATGCTTCTCAAGACACAGGCGTCATACGCATTGGAGTGGAGCGCATTCCACGGACTAAGCGACGCGACCGACAGTGAGAACGGCTTGGACTGGGCTTCTGCGGCACCATCGCAACGCAAAGAGTTTGTTGAGAAATTGCTGGCAGGACTGAGAGAGCTCGACCCTGTCTCGAGGTTGAAGAAGCTCGAGGCTTTACTCTACCTTCTTCTCGGGTGCTGGTATGAGAATGCTGGTCTACCGGAACCGGCAGAGGATAATGAGACGCTGTCGGACCATGCGCGCAACAATGCACACCGAAAGTCGGGAAGGCAAGTTGCGCTCATCAAGCGCAATGTGCACTTGTTGGCTGAATGCGACGGAGTGCAGAGCTTGGTGGACACGCTCGACGCTTCCTTTCAGAGAGCATGTGGGATCGACGTGGTACCCGACGTACAGCGCGACTCGAAAGAAGCAGAGCGACGTGAGATTTGGTGTGCCATGACGGCCGTCTACGTTGTATTGGAAGTCGCACGTGATGCTGAAAAGACAGGGAATAGCACTGGACTTCGAAGTGCTATTCTTGGTCTGAAGAAGCCAGGTCTGCTTGTCCTGTTCGTCGATCTCATCGCAAAGCTAAGGTGGGATGAATCGATCAATCTGCCGTTGTGCAAAATCTCTTTGCTGCTATGGAAAACAATGCTTGTGACGTTTGGTGGTCTCAGGGAAGTCGACAAGGTCAAGGAACAATTTCGAGATAGCAATCTCGACTCGGAAGATTCCAAAGGGCATCCGCTCATCACCGCTTCACCTCTCGACTATCATCTTTTTCGCCAAGAAATAAGCTCAAAGTATCCAGCATATAATCCTCCGCCTCCGCTCTTCCCCTTGGAACCTGAAAACAACTCCATCCTACCACCGCTCAAGAACCATCCTAACAAAGTCGCCGGCAATCATGTCTTTGGGTCTGGGCTCGGAGACACGAATGGAAACACTACTTCTATCCTACATCAACCCATTCATATCGCAACTCCCGCACCATCACCCCCTCCTTCTCCGGCGGGCCCGGGCGGCAAAGGTGGGAAGAAACAGAATTACCAGACAAATCAGATGTTTCCTTTCCTGTACCCACCACTTGACGAGTCTAGTAACAAGTTGGGTGGTAAAGGTTCGACTGACCTCCAAGACCTTCTCTGTGGCCGGAAATGGGAGGGCTCAGATATCCCGACGTCAATCATGGAGGCTGCGGAACTTTTTTCGAAGCGTATGAAGGCTACTCGCGCCATGAAGCAGTTGTGGGAGGAACGTGTTGCCTTTATGAAGTATGAGCGGGGTTGGACAGGCCCTGACGATCATCCTGACGTTGAAGAATTATCTCTTGAACCAAAGGAAAACGAGCCAAAGAAGCAACCCCCTGCTCCTGGGAGCGTTGAGGAGAGACTGCAACTTGTGGAAGAATTCTACGTAAGTATCAGCCAGTTACACCCCGAATGTACTGAGCTGACCATTACAGCGCGTTGCATTACCAAATTTACAGTCATTGATCATTGTCTTGATCAAAGCAATCCTGGCACATGTAACAGCCCTAGTCACACAGTCAAGCGGAGCCAACGGCCTCCAAAGCGGATTTCAGTTCCAGGATAACCAAAACGGAACGACGGCCGGGCGACCTGACATGAATGGCATGAACGGCCACAACGGCACCTTGGCTACAAACGAGGAGCTGGACGCGATGCGAACTCAGGAAGTGCTGGACAAGGCAGTGACCGGTACCCTCATTCTCATCTTGAAATGGTTCAAGGTCTCTCATATCTTGAAGTTCGAGTACATCACTCAACTACTCGTTGATTCAAGCTATGTTCCTCTGATCCTGAAGCTATTGCAGCTACAAGAGGTTGAGAAGATTGTCAACTTCAAGAGTGAGCAAGAAGAACTTAACTTTTTCAACTATTGTCGGTCACACTCGAGAAACGCGTCCGAGGAGGAAGTCAACGTACATCATGAAGGAGATTTGCAAGAAAGAGATTCTGATGAAGACGATGCAGCTCCGCCTCCGATTCGCCGTTCGAGACTAGATTCCAACGAATCGGGTATCGAGCCAGCAATGCAACCTACACAACTGCAGCCCCCGGAGGTGGACGAGCTCGGCTTCCCGACCAATGAATTGCCGAAAGAGCCAATCACCAACTTCTCCTGGCGCGCATTCTTCACCTCAATCAACTACCTGCGCATCATGCAGAAGATATGCAAGAACAAAGCGCATCGCAACCTTATGCTGGTATCATACAAGTCATCTCAGTTCCTCCGCAAGAGCCTTAAAGTACCGCAGCCAGAGTTGCGCCTTTATACTCTCAAACTCTTCAAAAACCAAGTCCCGTACTGTGGCCGCAAGTGGCGGCAATCCAACATGCGCGTCATAACAGCCGTGTATCTGCACTGTAGACCAGAGCTTCGAGATGACTGGTTAGCGGGAAGCGACGTGGATGCAGAAGTCGATGAGAGTGTCCCTCTCGAGCAAGCCTTACGATCACTGACGCATTGGCACAATCTGAAGCGGTACCCAGAGAGTTTGGGCGCCAAGCCTGGCGTCCTTGAAGAAGAGCAAGACTTCTTCCGCAACGAGCTCGAGAAGATGGATTGGGGCGATGAGGGCGTCAATGAAGGCGAGATGGAGCAAGGCTGGCAGGATCTTCAAGTTGAGGGTTGGTGAGCATCTTGCACGCCGCATCCCTACCTCGTCATCTAGCAGCTTGTATACTTATTCTACTCGTCTGATACCCAACTAGGGCACTGCATTGATGTCTCGCATAGATGATGCTGATCGAAAGCGGTCCCTCTGGCGCCTCAAATATGAGCAGCATGGTCGCCGAGAAGCCATTCGCGATGAGAAGATGCCAAGGTCGGATGCTACGCGTTCCAGTTCCTCGTCAAAGAAAAAAGTCTGGCCTGGGCCAAGTGCATCAAGTCAAATCTGTTCACGAGATATCCACGCTGAACTCGAGGAGCTCATCAAAGCGTCAATAGAGGAAGATGGCGATAGTGAGGAATCCGAGAACACTCAGGACGCCGAAGCAAAGAAATGCAGAAGGAGACAAGGGCAGTTTTCCCCTCTGTACGAGCCTGATATTTGGAATGAAAACGAGGGTAGACGCAAGTGCAGGACGAAACGGAATAGACGTGTTTCCAAGCCTAAAGAAGAGTAGAGGGTGTATTCTAGGGTCGCTGGCCATGAACTCGAGAAGGATACCCGGAAGGCATGTAGTCAGCCACGAGGTTGAGCAAATCTAAAGATGTATTATTTTGCAATGCTTGCCTACACAGTGAATTATGAACCTTGATCAAAGAACGACTTAGATGTATAGTTCGTGTGTAGATACCGCGGTGTTTGGGGAGAGTAGTTGATCCGCCAATCAAGCAGCCGGATATGCGGCTTACCTGCGCGAATAAAGCAATGCGGCCCGTCTTGCCTGACTCGGCGTGGCACTACCCCGAGCTTCTTTCTCCACAACTGCGGGTGAGTTGGAGGTCGTCGGCATTTGCTCCGCCTTCGGCTTTCCGCTGTGCCATTTCCTTTCTTATTCTTTCTAGTTATTTGCATACTTTTGTCGCATTTCCATTGCCTTTCCCCAGATATAGCGACAGTTTTTCACATAGACTTGGTTGAGAGTATTCGTACAATGGCGAAGGTCTTTGATTACGCCGAAGGTCCGTCGCAAGTCAATCCAAGACGTCAATTCCTTGTAGCTGACCCATAAGATTAGTTGCAAAGCACAATACGGCAGAGAGCTGCTGGGTAGTTTTATACGGCAATGTCTACGATGTAACACGCTTCCTACCCGAGCACCCTGGCGGATCCAAGGTCATCCTCCAACTCGCAGGCAAGGACGCGACGGAAGAATACGATCCTATCCACCCTCCAGGTATCCTCGAAGAAAATCTCCAGGCTTCGGACAAGCTCGGCACAATCAATCCAGACACACTACCGAAAGAAGAAAAGACACCACTGGAGACTGGCGAGGCGCAACAAGACGGGCCAGTAGACCTGGAGAGTCTTTTGAATATCGACGAGATTGAAGAGGTGGCGACGAAGAAGATTCCGTATAAAGCATGGGCATATTACTTTTCTGCAAGCGACGATCTGCAGAGTAAGTCATTCAACAATAAGGTGTACAGGAGTATACTCCTACGGCCACGGGTATTTGTCGACTGTACACGCTGCGATACCTCGACGACCTTTCTTGGCCACGATGTCAAGATTCCTATATATGTTTCTCCCGCTGCAATGGCCCGGCTCGCACATCCAGACGGCGAGTGGGGTATAGCGCAGGCATGCGAGAAGTATGGCGCCATGCACCTGATATCGCAAAACGCATCCATGACACCCGAACAAATAGTTGCAGATGCGAAGCCTGGCCAGGTGTTTGGATGGCAACTATATGTTCAAAATGAGCGGCAAAAGAGCGAAGCTATGCTCGCCCGTATGAACAAGCTTGATTGCATTAAATACATCTGTCTCACACTCGACGCGCCTGTGCCAGGAAAACGCGAACATGATGAGCGCAGCAAAAATGTTGGCTCAAACTTGCCTCTCCGTGCAGCTGTGCAGGAATCTCAGAGCGTAAGCAAGACGTCAACCGATGCAAAGACACCAACACAAGCAAGCGAGAACGAAAAGCCCAAACCAAAGAGCATGGGCGTAGGACAGAGTTTGTTCTGGGGCACAGCGGCGGACTTGACATGGCGCTCTACACTGCCCTGGCTCAAGAAACACACCGATAAGCCTATTGTACTCAAGGGCATCCAAACACACGAAGATGCTTACCTCGCTTCCCTCCACGCGCCACATGTCAAGGCTATTATCCTTTCCAACCACGGTGGTAGAGCGCTGGACACAGCACCACCTGCTGTACACACCTTGCTGGAGATCCGAAAGTACTGCCCAGAAGTCTTTGACCGCATCGAAGTCTGGGTCGACGGAGGCATCAAGCGCGGAACAGACGTTGTTAAAGCACTTTGCCTAGGCGCCAAGGGCGTGGGTCTCGGTCGGGCTGCGCTATTTGGTCTTGGAGCAGGAGGCAAAGAAGGTGTGGAAAGGGTTCTTGAAAGTAAGTTTTTTTTTCTTTTCAACTTCTTCTTAAATCTTGTGTTGTCATGTCGCTAACAAAAAACGACAGTTCTCAAAGCTGAAACGGAAACATGTATGCGCCTTCTTGGTGTAGAGAAGATTGAGCAACTTGGTATGCAGCATATTAATACGAGAGCTGTTGAGCGCGATATCTGGGATGGTCCGACGCTGGAGCGAGCAGCTGTTAAAGCTAAGCTGTAGAAAGGGAAATGGTGAAACGGGGGGTGGAAGCGTTGTGTAGTTGGTAATGCAAAAGATAATGATATTTGTCGTTGAAAGTCGAGCCATTTACCTGACTAATTACCATGTACCCAAGGTGCCCAGTGAATTAGTGAAGCACGTCATTCATGTGTTTGTCTCATCGAGTCATGCTCTGTTTGTCAAGGGGGAGAGGGGGGGGGGGACCGTCGAATGTTGCTCACGTCAATCACGGAGCCGCACGCATCTGATGATTTGCAAAAAAGGAACAGTCCGCGGCCCCAGCGAGGCCCGTCCACCGGTTCGTCAAATCTCACAGGAACAGGGACATTACGTATCCCGCTGGCGTGGTTGTGTATCCACTATAACTTTTGTTTTGATTAGCGGGACACTCGCCCGGGGGGGTTTACAGTTTTGTGGGTAAGGGTAAAAAAGGAAAGAAAGAAAGGGTAGTAGTGGGGATGTTTGTGGCGGTGGATTGTCAGAGTGTGGCTGAATCCTTCGTAACCTTTTTACATTTGGTCCTGCGTATTGAGCGTGTTTCAGGATAGCCCTTGCATGGCGTGCGGAGCCGAGCCGTTGGTGGTTTCATAGTGACTGATTGACGCGTTCGTACGAACGTACTAGGAAGGTATTGATATGTGTGCGGGGGACTAAAGAGTAGTTTGCCATTGATCGTGGACCTTCTTTCTGAGAAAAAAAAAGGGAAATGTATTTCTATATGGTATCTTGATGAAGAAAGGGAAAAAACGCCCCTTCCCTGGTCTATCTATTATGTATGTATGCGTATCAATGTGCGGGCTCGAGACGATCGCGAACCAAAGTGCCCAGAAAAACCTCCATCTGCCCATAGGAGGGGAAAGGGTGGGAAATGAAATCAGGAGATGAATTCAGCAAACCATGGCCGCTAGTCAAATCCCCCACCCACCCAAACATCCCCCGTTGGCGCAAACTGGGCAACCAATGCAAACCATGCGGCGCCTCTTCCATCCCAACCCACACCCCGCGCCATACTATGTTTTTTTTACCCGCTCACACATACCCCCCAGTCCTCGCGATTTCACAAATCCCAGCGTGACACAATGGCTACGTACTGTGTCTCGCCATATCTCGCGCGCGTATGTGTGATTTTCAATCTGAACCCGTCTGTCCAACCAAAACCAATTAAAGCCAACAATCAATTTGTAAAGGAACAACACAACAAAGTTGGCCATAGTACATTTGTAGAAAGAAAAAAGGAAAAAAAGGCACAGATGAACACGTGCACAGAAGAAATAAATGGAGGAAAAAAACGCCTGGTACGTACTGTTAACAAAGGAAAATAATAATAATTGAGATAAACGCCGGATCGGTGCGTATTGGTTGCTTTCGCGTCCTGGGGTATATGGTTAATTCTCATTGCACACGTGGGTGTGCTCTTCTCCATCTCTCTTTCTTCTCTGTTATTTTTTTGGCTTTGCTTCAGCGTGCTTGCGATCCCGTCGCTAGCATTCCTCAACAATCTTTTTTTTCATTTCTCTGTCTTTCTCCTTTCGCGTGCTTTCCTCGTCCCGTCTCTTTACGCAATTGATGATTTTTTGGGGGGCCGCGCCGGCGCGATCGATCAAGGGATGGCGAAATGGCTAGTGAAATGAAGGACAGCGGAAATTTCAAGGGGCGGGGGCGGTTGGTCATGATGATGACCTGGCGCTATGCAACGTCAGTTTGAATGGTCCCGGAGATGGCCGCGTGTAGCGCCGAGATGATCGGAGGGCGTATTGGGAGGTGGCCTTCGTATAGAGCGGGTAGGAGTTGGGTGACCGTTTTTTTTTTCGCACGGCTTTGGCTGTGGCTTGGAGTGATACGAACATGTGCCGTAAGTACGTACCTGGTAGTTTTTTTTTCGTTTTTTTTCGGGTGGTTGGGTAAAAGGCGTGCCGAGCTCGTCGAAGCGGCAGTGGCGGCGGCAGCTTTTGCTTTGGGCGGTACAGTGCATACTCAGTGCTCCGAGTGAATGGCGCCTGTGCCTTCGCAGATGGTGCATTGTTTTTGGCCGGTCCGTTTGCAGCATGGGCCGCCTTTGCCGTTGCAGGCGTCGCACTTGACGGTACCATTGCCTCTGCATTCGGGGCAGTCTTTCATATTTGCGTAGTATTTGGTCGGATCGTGGGGGCGGGATTGGAGGACGGCGAGGAGTCGAGGGGAAGAATGGGAGACGTTCGAGTCCTGGATGAGCCGGATGGATCGGCGGAGAGAGTGAGAGTGGGAGGGAGAAAGGGGAAGGGGAGAGGGTCAGAGTGATGCAGAGGGTGGTGTTGATCTTGATTTTAAGGAAGCAGTGGGCATCAAACGAGCAGAACGATGAAAGGTGCTTTCTGTTTCGAATCAGTACCACCAAACTCTCGGCG